TTCAAATGAAATCACAAGTTTGGCTAACAGCGGATGAAGCAAAAGATAAATCTTCAAAAATTGAAAATGATACTTTAAGAAAGCAAGTTATTAGAATTCAATTAGATTTTTATCGTTATGTAATAGGGGCGAAATGTTTGTTAAAGCTGTTTTATAAAACTAAAGTTTCTGGAAATAAACGTATTGATTTAAGTTCAGGAGAGTTAATGGAGAACCTTTTGACTGTCATTTGTACCTGCAATTTGCCTCCGCCAGAAAAAACAACCAATACATTAAAAGAAAAAAACCAACGCAGACCTGATTGAAGAAACAAAAAGAAAAGTTGTTTACAGCGTTAAAAGATTCTAGAATGTCACATCTTGCAAAACAAAAAAAAGTCCTGTTTTTGCCAGCTTTATTAGATGATCCATTTAGTTTAATTGGGCGAGTTGTTCTTCATAAAATAAAAAAAGTTGATGAAGAAGAGTATTTCTGGTGCAAAGCAAATGTTGTTAAAATGGGTAAAGTTGGAAAAAAAATCAAGCAAACTTTATATGATGTTATTTACGAATCAGAACCTGGAAGCATTTATACATTTCCACTGTTATCTGACTTTGATAAAGGAGATATGATTTTGTTATAAAAGGTAGAATCATTTTAAAGTTTCTATAGTTATTATTAGTTGATGAACCTGTCCTTGTTACTATTTAAATGAACCTGTCCTTGTTACTACTTAAACAAAGATTTCGTTATATTTTTTGCATGATCATTAAATTTTTTGTTACAGGAACATTTAAACATGATGAACTGCTTGTAAGATTGTGGTGCAATGTAAACAAGAAAAAATTGTGGATGATGTTTTTAAATACATTTGTGCATTTTTCTTAATTTTGTTTTTGTGTATTTTTTGACTATTGTGTTTTTTCCAGCAGTGGTTATCCTTTAACTAATGTTTATTTTTTTGGTTTTTACAGAAATTTCTTTTTTTTTTTTTGACCCAAATGCCCCATATGGGGCAAACGAGCACTGGGATTTTTACATATATTTTGGATTTTCAAAAATGTGTATGAACTTGTTTATTCTGACAATATGAAAAAGCACTAGCTCTATAACTAAAGTTAATTTATATTATTTTTACAGAACCTTAATTGTTTCCGGTCCAATCGCCTTGAATCGGGGAATTAGGCATAATATTTTGAAATATTTTTTTATATTTATAAAAAAAATATGCAAAAATAAAATTGTTCACTCTAAAATTGTTCAAACGTAAATAAAATTGTTCACTCTGACAGTTTGAAAAATCTCTTTTTTTTTTTTAACGGTTTTTAATTTTTACGGTTTTAACCAAGGTTTTTGTACTCTTGGCCTAATTTGCCCCAAAATGGGAGAACAAGCTCTGTGTATTTTTAAATATTTTCCTAATATTTATAAATAAAAATAAATTTGTTCATTCTGAAAGTTTGAAAATTTTTTTAACGGTTTTTAATTTTTACGGGTTTAACAGAGTTTTTTGTACTCTTGGCCCAATTTTCCCCAAAATGGGAAAACGGGCCTTGTGCATTTTTACAGTTTTACCTAATATTTATAAGTATAAATGAATTTGTTTATCCCGATAAATTAAAAAAGCCTTTTTTTTTAACTAAAATTAATTTTTATTGTTTGTATTGAACTTTGATTGTTCTTGGCCCGATTGCCCTGAATTGGGGAAATTAGCCCTAAGATTTTTACGTATTTTTTTGGTATTGACAAATGTAAATGAATTTGTTTACTCTGTCAGTTTAAAAAAACTCTACTTTTTTATTTAAAGTCGATTTTAACAAAGCTTTTATAGCTTTTGATTCAATTGCCCCAAATGAGGCAAACGAGCAGTGGAATCCTTACCTAGGGGCCCCTAATATGAGAATAATAATTTTTAGAATTGAATGCTTTGATTCTTTAGTAAAAAAAAAACAATAAAAATAATTTAGCATAAGTACTTCAAAGAAACTCGTTCTCATTGATAGCATTTAAAAATAATTTTTTTTTTCAAAATTTGGTGCCATAATTCCTAAGGAAAACTCGAGAAATCTTGTCGCAAAATAGGCATTATTGAGCTTAACATAAACTGTCATAACTTGGGAACCAGTTATCCAAATTTTAAAAACGAACTCATTTTGAAAACGTCTTTATTATTCGCATACTTTAGTATTAATTATAACAAGAGATAATAATAATAGTAAAATCGAGTGAAGTGCCTAATAAAATACTTCATTTTTCTTCGCAATGTCAAGTTATGCGTTATACCTCGAAGGTAGCGAATGTGATACCCTAACCCTAACCCTGACGAACTACAAACCGGCAAAATGTGAACTTTTTTGAGAGCCATTGTAGTTAATTTAGCGGTATGTTGACTGTACACTGACTTTTAAGGTACCCTGACTTTTAAGCGAAAAAATTAATTAAAAAAAAATAAAAGGAAATTAAGGGAAACTAGACAAATACAATATGAACAAATATATATTTTTTGATTATTTGATAGACTGCCTGCCCAAACCAAACCCTCCGTCGATGTACCAGCACTCCGTTGCGGGATCTAGAAGATAGTCAATGTAGAAACACTTCGCGCATGTTTTACAGTTAAATATAAAGATTTTATTTTAAATAAAGCTTTAAAATAGATAGTTAAGATTAAGAGAGTTTTTTTTTTTATTACTATTTTTATCATAAAAATAATGGTCTTTAAAATATGTTTGGTTTCGCAAAAAAGTTCGCATTTTACCGGTTTGCAGCTCGTGGTGCGCAGTTTGCATTTTACCGACTAGCGCATAACTTGACATTTGGATGAAAAATGAAGTATTTTATAAAACTATAATTAAAACTATTAAATAAATACTTTATTGATAATTTTTAATAAAATTTTTTTTTTTTTTTAAGTGGGGATATTTTCCTGGGGGATTTTTCTCGAACGGATTTTTTCTCGGGGGGATTTTTTCTCGGGGGGATTTTTTCCGGGGGGATTTTTTCCTGTTACTGTGTATTGGTGTTTGCAAAGAAACATTATATAAGTCGTTTTTTAATATAAAACTATTTTTTTTTTAACTTTGTTGTATATACAGGTTCGGCGCTTAACCATCCCTATATAAACAACATATATAAACAAATATGTCATTTATTTATGTATGTTGTTGATAAAATGTAAAAAATCCACTAATATAACATTTTATTCAGGATCGTATGTAATATAAGTAAACCTTTCTAATAATTACAAACCTTTTTTGCTCAAGCTGTTTTGTTTTGATTTTTTGTATGCATGTTATTGCATTTAGAAAATTTGACAAGATTTAAAAAGCACAAAACATATTGTCTTATCCAAGTGGTAAATTTAAAACTTCAATTTTAGATTTGCTCCTTGCTTGATAACTTCTGATTGTTAAAATTACGTTATCTGATTCTTAGACTATTAAAAATGATAGTAGAGGCTTTTTCGTAAACCTTTGAAGCTACGTATGTGACGTCAATTTGCGGCAAAAAACTGGAAAAAAGGTTTTATTTAAATTTTTTAAAAAAGCTACTACTTTTAAAGGTATATAGAATATATTTTTATGGGATATATTTTAATTAAGACAAAAACCATTTCTTTATTACTATTGTAATAAATACAATCTCTTATCCGTGATAATGATATATCTGTACTAGTTTATATATTTTATGCAGTTGTATGCAATATAATTAAAATTAATCAAAAAATGTAAGATAGATGCAAAAGAAAACTTGACGCGTAAAGGTTTATTTTGCCAAAAACCGACGTCAATGCGTAAAATTATAATTTAGTGGTCTAAGATCTTCTTAGTTCCATTTGCATAGCGTAACGTGCAAAAGTCTGTAAGTGTAAAATGTCTTTAGCATATGTTGAGTTTTCAGGCATTATATGGAATAATTGTGTATAATATATCTATAAAATGCGTAATAAATTTCAAAATATATTACGCTTAGAGGAGGCCTTGAACCCCGCAAAACAACACTGATGACAGCGTACTTAACCATTGAGATATCAATGAATTGCATTTAGCAGAAAAACAAACCTAATTTTAAGACTCTTATAAGCTCTACGTATGCGGAAAAGGTGTTAATTTTTTTGCTCATAACGTTTTTTTTCAAAACAAAATGATTTCACAAAAAAATATTGAAGTAAATAAGGAATAAGTATAGAAATAATCGGTGCGGAATAAATATGTATAGAAATGGTAGGTTTGGTAAAGACCCGTATTTTACGGATCCGGAAAGCTAGGATATATAAGGAAAAAGTACAGAAAAGTTCGATTTGGAATAGAAAAAGAACCGTATTTTTACGGGACCGATCTCAGCTATAAACAAAATAAAAAAATCAAAAGGTTTTCCTCGCAGAGCGTTAAGTTAAATATAAAATCAAAATAAATTTCATTAAGTTTAACGAAAGTCTATTTTTACTATGAAATTTACTACTTTTTACTACCAAATTTACTATTAATTTAAAAGTAGAAGGAGATCTTAAGCTCATTTATTTCAGAGCTTAAGATCTTCTTCTGCTTTTTTTTAAAATAACTTTATCCTCGCGTAATTTATGGACGATCCCTAATGCAGTTTAAATTTAAATACAGAAACTAAAATAAAGAGAAGTTTAACCTCTAGTAGATATTTTTACAACTTATTCTAGTTTCTATATTTAACTCTAAATTTTTAACTTCTTGCTACTTTTCAACTGGTTTTTAATAGAATAAGGAGATTAAACGAGGATTTTGTTTTGAGATAAACGAGGATTTTATTTTGAGTTTTGATTTTTTAATGTTTACAGTCGTTATTTAAAGTTTACATTCATATTTTCAAAAGATTTATCAGTGAAATAGGTACACACAACTAAAAAAATATAATGCTTAAAAAACAACAATATGGGTGTCTGACTTTCTTGATTTTGCCACAATTAAACACAAAATTTGCGCAAGTTTAAAGTTAATTAAATAATCCTCTCCATAAAAAAAATTATTAATACTTCCGTAATAAAATGTTTTACAAAACCGCGTTGTTAGAAGTTTTTTTAAAATTTTAAAAAATGATAATAATAAAATAAAAAATGCTGTGGAGGATATTTACACGTTTTGGATCAAGAATAATGCGTTTGCTAACAACAAGAAGTTGTTTTTTATTTGCAACAATATTTTTTTTGTATCATGTATTATTATTGCCGTACTTACTAAAGTTATTTTACGACCAACCGATTGAATCAAATCCACAATTCATGAAGTTATTTAAAAAAACCAAACAGCTAAAAGTTGAAAATGTTTTACTTCAAAAAGAAATGCAAAAGAACTATAAAGATGAGAAATTTAGACTTTTTGATGCAGAAACTAAAGCCAGAGAACTCGCACTGTTTATTGAAAACTTAAAACTTAACAACAACGTCAGTTTCTTTGAAAATAACTCCCAAACAAATTGGAAAAGGAATGGAAATGATTTGCTTCTGTATGCAGATAGTATAAAAAACAAAATTGAAACGATTAAAGCTCACGAGGCAAAAATTGCAAACAGTGTCTCACTAGCTCCACGAAGCGCTAACTTTGAGGTTTTAAGTAGAAGAATTTCTAATCAAATTGAAGAAATGTGGTTTTTATGGAGAGGTAACTTGAAAAAAATACAAGACGTTCTTAAAAATCATAAAATACCTTCCGGTTTTTTGAATAAAATATCAGATGAGTTTCGCGAAATCAATCAAATAACGGAAAGAGACTATGAAGAATTAATGGCGATAGATGGGATAAAAGAATATAAAAAAAATCTAGCCAACAACTTATCAAATAAAATTCAAAATCGCATTTTTAAACTTCAGCATCCTTCAAGCTGTTATAATGCAAAGAAATTAGTATTAAATTTAAACAAACCCTGTGGTTATGGCTGCCAAATGCATCATCTCATCTATGGAATGATTGTGGCCTATGCTACAAAACGCATTTTAGTAATTTCTGACACAAATATAGGAAGTGATACTAATTTAAATTTGTATTACCAAAAATTAACAAACTGCAGTTTATCGTCTAAGCAAATCATTGCTCATTGGGGTGAAAACATAAAAAATAAAAAAGTGGTCTCTTTGCCACCTGTCGAATTTATTCGTCCTAGACCTAAACAAATGCCTATGGCTGTGCCAAATGATATCATTGACACGCTGAAGGCTTTTCATTCGCGTCCTTTTATTTGGTGGGTAGGGCAAATATGTAAATTTTTGTTTCGACAACAACCATTTCTTAGTGACAAACTTTTTAAAAAGAAAAAAGAATTAAAGTTTAAGAACCCTATTGTTGGGTAAGTTGAAAAAACTGTTGGGATTGTTTACTGTTGGGTATGTTAAACGTTGGCTAAGTATAATCAAACTATTTTAGGGCTACCATCTAAGAATAATTTAAATAATAAAATCGCAACCAACTTTTTATAATGATTTGTGACGCATTCTTCAATTCAAATAGATGATAACAACCCTGGGTTTGGCTTTAACTTTCAATAAAATTACTGATGTTTTTTTATAAATTATTTTGTTTAAATTAGCATACACGTCCGTCGCACTGACAAAAAATTGGAAGCTGCTTACCATAACTTAGAGGAATACATGTATTGGGTTGATCTTTACTACAAAAAAAGAGAACTTTCCGGATCGTTGAGTCCAAGAAGAGTCTTTATTGCATCTGATGATACATTGATTATTAAGGAAGCTAGAGAGAAGTAAGTTTTGTTAAAAATTTATTTGTTAAACTGTTAATTTTTTATTTAATTATGAAAATTTAAATTTGTTAAAACTAAAAAATTTAACAAAATAATTAGAGCTTTTATTTAAATTTTATATTGATGGGATGATTTCCTAATTTTCAAATCAATCCCCATCATATTTTTAAAATTTAATTTTTTGAAAGTTTTTTTTGCATCAAACTAATTCGCTTATTGTAAAAATTTAAATTTTGGTGTTTCATTTTTTCATTTTTTCATTTGTGTTTTATTTCCGGAAATCAGCTCTGATGACTTGATGTCACGTCACATGTCAAGTGTTTGCAAGGACTTTTCACATGTTTACTCTGCTAATAAAGTTAGTATCATTATCTAATGAAATTACATTATCTACTGAAATCAGATTGCAATCTTCTGGTTACAATCTGATTTCAGTAAATAATGTAGGGGAGCCAATTTTTAAATAGATTTTACTTTTATGTAGGGGAAGTCTTGTCTTAATTGAAAAATTTAAGGAATAAATATTTATTAACCAAAGATGGCTTAACTATGAAAACATATATGATTTGATTTAAACAAAAAAACAACCCTACTATAATTTTAGCCATAATTTGATTTAATTAATTGCACTGTTATCGGAAATAAACTTTTTTTTGCAAAGACGCCATTTTGTTTTAATCAAGGCAACTGGTTCCCTAAATTGGAACAATTTGATTCCTCAATCAGAACAAGTTGTTTCTTTAAAAAAAAAACAACAGAAAAATCAACAAAAAGTGAAAATTTAAATATACAATAAGATTAATATTACCCTGACAAACTGAAATTCTAAAAACAAAAATTTGTATAAAAGCTGCAACTGCTATGACGTTCTCTTAATTTATTAATTAAAAACAACTAAATAAAGTATTATTTTTAAGGTTTATGGTTGTTACTAAGTATTTTTAAATTATGCCTGAACTGTTTTTACAAGAGTTTGATTTTGTTACTTATTAAGCAAAGAAAACTTTATAGTTCCAATCAAAGAAACTTTGAGCTATTTTGTTATATCACTGCTATATCATGCTTGCAGCAACTTATAAGATAAGTTAATGTTGTTACTAGCAATTTAAATCTCATCGCATTAAACACAAAAACCCTATAACCTATAACAGTATAGTTTACCCATCGCGTGAACACATAATTAGATCATCAAAAGAAAATCACGCAAAAAAAAGCTTTTAATCAATGGTGAACATGCATTTTTTGAAGGATAACTTTAATCTGTCAAAGTAGAAAATAAAGTTGATTAAATAAAAAAGGCAATTGCTTTTACTTAGTAATTGGTGAGCTTTACTTGAATAAAAACTTCAGCAATTTTCGTTGAACTTTAATATTCGTAAAGCTGAGCTTTACGAATATTAAAGTTCAACAAAATTTACTATTATCATACATACAATTACTTAGCGTTTTTGGAGTAAATTGTTTAATTTTGCATTAATAAAAATGAGCCATTTTGCTCAATTGTTTATTCACATAAAGCTGAAGAATTACTCTAAAAACGTTGAATAAAAGCATTTGCTTTTTTTTATTCAACCGGCCTAATGATTAATAAAGATGGTGTCACTCAACAAAAGTCTAAAACAGTCCCTGCCGGCACAACTCAGAAAATAGTTATGCTTGGTTTCTGTTGCATTTTTAAAACCTTCTAAAACAAAAAGAATAACACGTATCAAAAATGGTTTTTATTCCGTAAAACTAACTGTTACCATAAATTAATTTACAATAAATACCAGTTAAAGTATTAATGGTTTTACCGTTATGGAAACGTAGTATTATATTGTAATAACTTTCCGTTAGGAATGTGAAACCACTGATAAAAACATGCGACATTAAAATTTGACTTTAAAACCTCAAAAAACACGTGTTAAACTCTAGTAAAACTGCCCTTAATGTACACGTGCTTTTGGTTTACGCCTGAATCGTGAAAAACACGTGCCTATATGGGTTTTATTTCCGAAAAAGAAACTAGATGTGCCGGTAGGGGTGACACTGAATTTTAAATATAATATAGCTATTGCATACTTATGCATATTAGCATACATATGCATATTACATGCATATTAATATGAAGTACTTAAAAATTTAAACATGTTAATATCATAGTTTGCCAGTAATAATATCAGTTAAAAAGTATAAAAAGTATGGTAGTAAAATGCGAACTGCAAACCGGTAAAATGCTAACTTTTTTGCGAACCAGACATTATATTTTAATAACCACTACACTTATGGGGTCGTCCATAACACGCTATTTTTTTCAATTTTCAACCCCTCCCCCCTCCCTCATGTCACAAACAGTCACATTATTCTGCACCCCCCTAAAAAGGTCACATACCCCCCCTCCCTCTAAAACAAAAAAACAACAACAAATCATTACGGTACTTTTAACATTCTAACAACATAGTAATAGCTATTTAACAGAATAAAAAAGACTCAATTTAACTAATTTGGAATGCATTCTTAATTTATTGGGAAAGATTGTCATAATAAAGTAAAGTAAAAATAGTTCTTTTATTTAAACCTCATGTTTTTGATGGAACTGGAACACATTTGCACGCATTAGAGAAATATTGCATTTATGCCATAATATAAATTACTACTAACTTAGTTATACTGACCTCAAACTAGCTACTGTTCTCTTTGCACTTTTATATTATAATAATCTGTGTTTCCTATTGGCTATTTAATGCATGAGCAAGTCTATTTAACTTAATTACCATATATTATATATTTATTTACTTATATTCTTGCTTAAATGTAAATGTAACTAAAACCCTAGTGTTTATATAATGTCAGAAGATTCAAAAAAAATATATATTTAAAAGATAATATATTTCACCATATGTTTTATTTACTTATTTAAACCTTCCATTTAAAACTTAAATTATACGTTCTTAATTTAATGATTTTGCATCGCTGCGCTTCAATGTCTTCAAACTTTTTTAATTATTTAAAATACGGAGATAAGCATAGCGTGAGAAATGTGATTAAAATTTTTGACAATCTGAAACACTTATTTAATTGAATGAGTAAATATGTAGGAAATAAACTGTAATGATAAAAAATATTTGTGACGTCACATTTATCAAAGACTCCCTTCCCTCTAGTCTCAAATTGTCACAAAATTATTCCTCAAGCTAGTAGCGTGACGTACTTTATGGATGACCCCCCTATGATATTTAAAAAAACGTCTGCTCATCAATTTTTCGATTTAAATTGAATTTAATGAAATTTGATATATTTTATTTATTTAGAATTTGGTATATTTTATTTCTTTTAAATTAAGTATAATTTATGTTTCTGCTTGAAGTCCATAAAAAATATAGCAAAATAAACAATTTAACGACAAACGGAAATTTACATTGTTAACATAGGACCATGGTTCGCAAAAAAGTTCGCATTTTACCGGTTGTTCGCAGTTCGACTACCAAAAAGTATATACCACGAGAATATTTTTATTAAGAGATGATATTGTCAAAAGGTTAGATTAAAAAAAAATTTCATATTATTTAAACTGATTTTGTTTAAAATAAAGATAAAAGGTGATTGAAATAGTAGTTTTTTGAAATCATTCCCAATGCATACATGACTTTTATTCCATTCATAAGTGCACTGATAGACAATAGAACGCTTACCATACTTTTGATTTAAATATATGCCATTTATAAATACTAATTATATGCCATATAATGTACTTTAAATATATATAATGTAAATTAAACATATAATGTAAATTAAATATATACCATATAATATGGTACATTAGGCAAGGTGAATAAAAAAAAGTAATTGCTTTTACTTAGTAATTGGTCAGCTTTACGTGAATAAAAATTTCAGCAAGCTAAAGATGATAAAATACTATACTTATCAAAAGAGTTAAAAACAAGATTACATTACCAAAAGAAGATTAACTAGTTCCAAAAAGAAATTTTATTTTTATTAAAAGACTCTAAAGTGTCTAAATTAGGGTAGAGTGGGGGTATATATGAGCACTTAAGAAACAAACGTTGATGATAAAATAATCATAAGCAACATTCTTTTAAACAATTTTTTTAATACCTTGATATAAGAAAAAGAAACAATATGCAAAAAAATTTATAAAAATAAGTTACGGCAACCAAAGTAACAAAACTCTAAAAAAGCAAATTGTTTATATTTTGCAAGTAGGTGGGGCAAAACGGGACAATTGAAAAGTAGCAGTTATTCTTTGGTTGAAAAGATTTAAAAAAACAAAAATTGGTATCTGTTAATTTAACATGTTTAGACATTATTTTCTTAGAAAAAAATAACATACCTATATTAACACCCTCATACGCCATTACACCCCAAAAAGCAAGGACAACTGAAAATAAGAAATTTTTTCAATTTTATTTTAAATGTTTTTAAAAAAGCAAACTTAAAAAAAATGATCTAACAACAAAGTAGGAAAAAACTCATTAATAATAAAGTTAAGATTTAACAAAAGATATTATAGATAACATAAATCATATAAAAAGTATCCTGAAACTAATTAGCAGTAACTGTGAGCCCTATATCTATAGATATTACATCTATACCAATCATCTTTATTTCTGGCATCATTCCCCCGCAAACCATATAAATAACATTCACTATTTTCTGGTAAAACATTCTCCTCAGAAACAGGAGGCCTTTTAACTGCTTCTTTTTTTTTAAAGAGACTACAAGCAGCTTCTTTTTAGTTTTAAGTTAATTTTTTAAGAGATTCTTCAATTATTTTCTTTTTAGGAGATCTTGTTATATTTCTAGACTCTTCTTTGTTTCTTTTTCTTGGTTTTAACTTGGGTATGAAAACAATATCATTAAATGAGACATTAAGAACTGTAGTTTTGCATCCAGAAATAAAGCTATTATCAAGAGCAAAATTATTATGACTTCCTAAAGTTGAACTTGGCCTCATAAATAGTTCATTATTGTATGCTAAAAATTCATTTTTAGGAACAATA